CAATCACTTTCAGATCATCAGGACAATCAATTAAATTTCAAGTAGGCATGCTCAATTTAATGAAAAGCATAAAAATTTCACTTCAAATCAGTCATACTTACTTTTGTATAAAACGGGTTTAGTCCCGCCACTACTTCAAAAACAAGTCAAAACATGCTTTTAAAAACTATACGGGTATTACCATAAATTTACTTACCTCACTCGCATAAACCAAGAACTCAATCCCAGTGCTCAGGTGACAGAACACTCAAGAACCTAATCAAAATACCCAAGAATTAATACCGTACTATCACAAATTCAAGTGAAATCATTATTAGGACTACCCCTAACCACGATGCTATTACTATCAGTCTCCACATAACCGGACATCTCCAAATTTGTTCTTATATTACAAACTAAACATTTAATCCACGTTAATTGTTGGCCATCAATGCGTGAACAGTACCCGTAAACAGTGATCACGCCATGAACAGTAACTACACTTCCATAAATTGGCAAAACAATGGCTAATTCATGGGATTTTTTTCTCCAAAATCACAACAGCCCAAATCAAGCTAATTTACACTTAAACCAAGCTTAAAAACATAGCATAAGCTACCGAAATTTCCCCATTTTTCAACAGATTTTCGGACAGCATAAGGCAGCAATTTAACAGACAAATTTTCAGCAACTAATGGGTAATTTGGGACTTAAATGGAGCTGCCACTTACCAAAATTTAGCAGCAAAAACCAGACCTGCAGTTGGGGGAAGGCCGGCGGCAGTGCAGGGGAAAAATCAAGAATCTACCGAAAATTTGGGAGAACCAAGAGGATTTAAAAAAAGATGGATTAATGGCTGTTCTTACCGAAAAAAGCCCAGAAATTTGCACACCCACTAGCAGCCGGCGGACAGGGGAGGAAGAGAAACTGCAGATCCAAAATTCCTTGGCTTTAGAGGGAGTTCTAGGCCCTAAATCTTGTTCTTGAACAAGAAAAGAGGAGAAAAATAGCAAGCTTTTGCCAATTCCTCAAGAGAGGACTGTCGGCAGCTTGGGGGGGCTTGTCGGGGAAAAAAGAAAAAGAGCAGGTCGCAGGTCTGAGGAGGAAGAAAAGAAAGAAAAAAAGAAAAAAAAAAAGAAAAGAAACTGATCCTTATCTCATTTCCTTTCTTTTAAGTCCCTCAACTTTGGAGTTTCGATTATTAAGCCCCAAAACAATATTTTCTCTCACAAAAACCCTTACTTAAATGCTAAAATATCACAAAATTTTGGGATATTACAACTTGAAAAATCATTTATATTCCATAGCAATGCAGCTTTCATGATAAAATTCTGTTATCTGAAACTATCATAAATTTCAACCCCATTTGTCCACAATTCCTTAAGTTCATCAATTAATGGCCTAAGTATGACATCAATGTTTTTTCCTGGACTTTTAGGTCCAGCAATTATCATGACAAGAAATATATGCTCTGACTTCACACACAATTCAGGAGGAAGGTTATACACTGTAAGAAAAATAGGCCAACAAGAGTAAGGTGTTGCAGAGCAACCAAATGGATTGAAACCATCTGTACGGAGGCCAAGTCTAACATTTCTAGGTTCATCAGCAAATGTTGGGTGGGTTTCATCAAAGTGTTTCCATGCCTCACTACCCGCAGGATGAATAACTTCATGCACATCCTCACGGCATTTTAAATGCCATGTCATGTGCTGTACTATTTTCCTATAGTTGCTGCAATCTTGGGGTAATTGGAAGGTACCACAAAAATTTCCTTGGAACATCTTTCTGCCTTATAGCAAACATATTCCTCGACTCATAATGAGATTCTCCACACACTAGACAAGCAGTTAAATTCTTACTTTGCTCATCATAGTACAAGAAGCAATCATTGACACAAATATCAATTTTCTTGTACCCAAGTCCAAGCACATTTATCATTTTTTTGGCACTGTAAAAATCCTTTGGCACCTTTTCTTGGTCCTCTAGACTCAACAACTTTCAACTCAATGACAATGCCATATCCCAATTAGCAGCACTCGTACTATAAAGAGTTTTCATGTTTAGCATTTCTGCCATCAATGAAAGTACTGTAACATCCTATCCCCTAGTACCTATATGAACTTCTGCAGCATGCAACAGATCATAAAATTTTCTCGCCTTATTATTTGGCTCCTCAGCCATTGGCCCCTCATTGTATTTAGACTGTGCACCCATTGCATCAACTACCATTTCATGGTATAATGCATCTACCTCATTCCTAACAAACTCCATATTTGAATATTCTCCTTCAAATTTTTTTACTGTATTGCTAGATGTCTCTTCATGAACATACCATGTATAATAGTTATTCATAAACCCATGTTTACTCAAATGCACAGAGACAACCTCAAGATTCTCCCATTTTCTACATTTACATTTTGAATAAAAACACTTAATCTCTGATTTTGCTGTCAATCTTGAAAATGCAAATCTCACAAAAAATTGCACCCCCTCTTTAAATTCATCAATAACAAAACCACTATCATTTACACGACAATCTATCCAACTACGGTCGTCCATCATTTAATTACCTAATTTGAATTTCAATTCGACAAAGTATATTAACATATCAACTAATAACCATACATGTCAATAATCACAAATGTTAATCTTAATCTTAATAATTTTAAATTAAATTTCTTTATGTATATAAATTCAATATATAAAAATATTACTATATTTCAACAATCATACATATATTAATCTCAATATAAATAATTTAGTAACTTTATAAATATATATATATTAAATATAAATAGTACTCTAGTTTAATTACCATACTAATTTTAATCTCAATAATTTGAAATAAACAATTTGATATATAAAACTTCAATCTAAATATCATTTTAGTTCAATAATAATGCACATCCCAATCTCAATATAAATCTCTCAGATTGAGCTAATTTGAAATAAATAACAAATTTGTAACTATAGAAATTCAATATAAATATCACTCTATTTCAAGATATTTAGACCTCAATCTCAAGATCAATCTCAATCTCAAGATCAATCTCAATCTTAATCTCAAATTTAATAATCTAAAATTCATAACTTTGTATATACAAATTTACTAAAAAAAAAGGTTAAATACCCTTTTTGGTCCCTCTACTATAGGAAAAAGCCCCCTTTTGATTCCTGTACCAAAAAAATCCCTTTTTTGGTCCTTACTGTTCACAAATCCGACCCCTTTTTAGTCCTTCCGTTAAATTTTGGCTGATGTGGCAAGTTAATTAACGGAAACAGTTATTCTTTTTTTTACTAAATTACGTGAAAAATCCATGTGGTAAAAATTAATGACATGTTAAATTTTTTACTTTTAATTACTGATATACCCTCGTCTTCTTCCCCAGCTTCTCCTTCCTCCAGCCTTTTTTTCTTTTCTTTTTTTTTCTTTTACCTCCTGGCAAACCCAGCTGGCTTGGATCAAAACGGGGAGGACCACGGCAATCTTCATAGGAATCCATCATCAAATAATTGCCGCTGGTTAGGTTTCAGCTGCGGAACGAGTTCCGGTTGGGGCAGCCGGAGCTGTACAAGCAAGCTGATAGGGATGATCCCAAAGTGCTCCTATGGTACTGGCAGTACCAGCGTCATTTTCACCATTAGAGTCAACTATTAACTTCCCCTCAATTTAAATCATGCTAGAAAAATTAAAAAATTAAAAAATAAAATCTTCTTCTAAGCTCCTAATTAAAAAGTCAGGTCCGCGTTCAAATTTGGACTTGCCAAAACCTGATCGGTAATGATATCCACAGTGATATTCATCCTCATGGTTCGCCGCGCCTTGGCCAGCCCCGGTGGCCCTCGAGCCTCCCCTACCATCATGCCGTGGTAGTAAAGCGTCATGCTGGTGTTGCTGTATTTGAACGACGCTACGTTTGGGTTCTTCACTGAAACGTCGACTATTAAGGTCATGTTGGAGCCGGGCTTGGGCATGGGGGTGGTGCCGCTGTTGTTGACGAGGTCGAGCTTGGTGACAGTAACACTGTTCATTTTGATGATAGGGTCCTTCACGCGGAACACGGTGAGGGCTAGGATTATGACGACGACGGCTTGGATGAGGAGGAGGCCGACAACGCACCCGCAACATCTGATGAATTTTCTGCAACGGAGCTTTTTGAGAGTTAAAGCGACTTCATCTTCGTCGCTGCTAGGGCGGTCTGCGGCAGGAGCTAGTGGCTTGGCTTGCTCCCTCTCCATCATGGCTGGGTCTTTATCAGCTTGGTTGTACAGCTCCGGCTGCCTCAACCGGAACTCATTCCGCAGCTGAAACCTAACCAGCGGCAATTATTTGATGATGGATTCCTATGAAGATTGCCGTGGTCCTCCCCGTTTTGATCCAAGCCAGCTGGGTTCCATGCGAACCCAAGCTATTGGGTTCGTTTGGAGGTAAAAGAAAAAAAAAAAGGTCGGAGGAAGGAGAAGCCGGGGAAGAAGACGAGGGTATATCAGTAATTAAAAGTAAAAAATTTAACATATCATTAATTTTTGCCACATGGATTTTCCACATAATTTAGTAAAAAAAAAGAATAAGTGCTTCCGTTAATTAACTTGCCACATCAACCAAACTTTAACAGAATGACTAAAAAGGAGCTGAATTTGTGAACAATAAGGACCAAAAAAGGGATTTTTTTGGTACAGGGATCAAAAAGGGGTTTTTTCCTATAGTAGAGGGACCAAAAAGGGTATTTAACAAAAAAAAAACTCTTCAAGTAAGTAATTAACGTACAAATTTCAATTTAAAAAACTTGAAAGAAATAACAGCAATTTACTGACAATTCATGCAATAATAGTAGTAATCTACACTAATCTACAAATAAGACAATATAATTTTGTATAAAAAAACCACAAAAATCTCAATTACCTTTGCCAATGGGGATGGTAATGTTGTGGAGGCAATGAAGATGATAAAAGATGGATTTTAACCTACAAAAAATGAAATTGGGGTCTTGTAAACTCAAATCCAAGGAAAAAACAAGGAAAGAAACAACAACAAAATGAAAAAA